ACTATTAGCTGAATGTACTATCAATAAAATCCTGGGTCACAAGTACTTACCTTAATATTTAAAAAAAAAAAAAAAAAATTTAAAACAGTTAGTTTGAGCACTTAGAACTTTTAATAAAGAGATACATATTATTTCATTTTACTGATAAATTAGTTTACTAATAATAATTTATTATCAAGTCTTTTTATCTATCATTTATTTTACTAAAGCTTATTTTACTGACAAGCTTTTTTTACTAACTCTAATACTAGCATAATCCTAATAACAATAACTAAAATTACTTTGTCTGTAAATGAGCTTTGGTAAAATAAACTGTCAATAAAATATAGTATTTATAAAGTGATTATTGATGAGTTGATCAAAACTGTAAGAAAGTAATTGTCTTAAGTAAAATTTATACTTAATATATATAAATAGTTATCTTGACCTTGACTATTTACATATGTTTAAATTAGCCAATTAAAAAATTTCTGTATTATTTTATATAACTTTAGAGTTCATTGCATAATCTATAGCTCTAATAATATTTATATTAATAATTCAAGAACAGAGCAAATCGAAAATGCCTTAATTAGAAATATTTAAGTGTAATTAGATCTGAAATTAATATTTTAAAGAATAAGTTTTATAGTAAAATAGTTATAGTATACAGTATTCTCATATAAACTATATTGGCTCTATTGAACTAACCTTCTTATTTTTTAAACAAATGAAATATGAAAACAAAAAAAAAATTATGATTCAAATAAATTATGATCAAAATGTGCTAGTATTCAATGCCTATTCCTAAAACATATATAAACAAATTATAGCCTAAATCATAATAGTAATTAACACATCTTTAAAATATATTTAAATGCGTACTATATAGTTACAGTAAAAATTTACATGTAAACTACATTGACCTATTAAATTAAACTTACTGATTTTTAAATAACTAATAAAAATTAATATGAAATTTTATTAAAAAAAAAATCATGATTCAAATTGTAATAGTCATCAGTAACATCTACTTTTGTAAATAAGATTGTAGTTATAGAAATATAGTTAGTTTGGTTTAAATAAAGAGTTATATAATAAATGCCTTACTAGTTTCTTGTAAAAACCTCAAAATTTTGCATTCAAAGTCACATTACCTAGTTAAATAGAAAGATTTAATTAGATTAGTCTCTTTTTCTATATAAATTATAAATAGTAATTTGAAAAAAAAGTGAATTATCCTAAAATACAAAATAAATTGAAGTTAAGTTGTGTAATAAAAAACTCTCACAAGAATATTTTAAATAAAGACCAAATACTTCATCATTACAAAAGCTTTATTAAATTATTTTTTACAATATACAATAGCACTGATGAACTTTTTTAATACATTTAAAGATATGCAAATTCTCAGGATTATACATTAGTAAAGAAAAGAACTCGAAAGGAGCATTATGGTAAATTAAAAAACATGACTATATGTTGTGACAGAGGTGGTATTTACAATGATTCTTTAAGCCCTAGTAAAGAAATACAACATAGACAAAGAAGCACTAAACTCATTAACTGTCTTTATGAATTGTACACTGCTCAACATAATAGTCAATGGCATCTGGAAGTTTGCAATAAAAGCCACAATCATAATTTTGATAATAATATATCAGGACATCTGATTGCTTATTGACTTTCAGAGCAATAGTTAAAAACTGTTGCAGAAATGACAGCAGCTAGTTCCTGTTACAAAGAAATTGTGTTGACTCTTTACCACAATAATACATCAATGTTAATTATAAATAAAAATATTTATAATGCTCACAAACAGCTTTGTCAACAGAATTATGCTGGTCATACTTCTATTCAGATGCTTGTAGATAAGCTTAGAGAAGGCAATTTTATATATAAATACAAATGTGATAATACCAGCTCTATTACTTATCTTTTCTTTGTACACAATAAATCAGTAATCCTTATTTGCCAGTATTCTTCTGTTATTTTTATAGATTGCACCTATAAGTCTAATAAGTTCAAAATGCCTTTGCTAAGTATTGTAGGTATTACTAATTTTAATACTATATTTTATTTTTGCTTTGTTTTTATGAAAGACAAGGAAAAACAGATTATCAATAGATATTGAATCATTTTGCTCACTTTTTTCACAATGCACCAAAACTAGATATTATAATAATAAATAGAAAACTTGTCCTTATAAATGCACTTAAGATAACTTTTTTGAATTCAGCAAATCTCCTATGTGTATAGCATATAAATAAAATATTTTAAAGAACTGCAAGCCATAGTTCTAAAGAGATACAGAAAATGAGAAAAGTGATGAATAGAAAGCTTTTTTTTCAAAATAGAATAAAATCATTCAATCAGTAACAAAGAAAGAGTTTGAAGAAAAATAGAATACATTTCATTCTACTTATGCTAATAAGTTCTGTGTTATTACTTATCTTGAAAATATTTAGTTACCTTTAAAAGAAAATTTTGTGATTGCATAGACAAATTCATACCTCCACCTAGGGACAACTATAACATCTTGCATAGAGGATGCCTATTCAACTCTTAAAGCTTATTTACAAGTATTAACAGAAGACCTTTATCAGGTTCGTATAACAATTTCTCTAGTAGTAGCCAACCAAAAGAAAGAAATTGATGCAATGATTGCATTAGAATGTATCCATATTCTACTTTTTGCACTCAATAATTTGTCATATATGAATATTAGAGGAAAAATTTCAAGTTTCACTTTTAAAAAAATAAATAATCAGTATCAAAAGGCAAACTGTGCAACATCTCAAGAACCTCTGCCACCATGCACTGGATTTTTTTTAAAAACAATAGGGCTTTCTTATGCCCACATTATTAGCCTTTTAGAGAACAACTAGGCTTTAATGCTTCATAATATTCATAAGTATTAGATGATTTTAGAATGCTCACAAGTACTAGAGGTTAAAGAAAATGCTGCTTATGAAGAAAACACTCTACAACCTCTTTTACAGAATCTACAGGAGAGATATTAAGAATGGCCAAGGGTTTAACAAGCAGCAGCATGTGTAATATTAGACAATATGATAAATATTTCTCTGATGATTTTGCAAAACTTAAAAGAGGTTTCTACAAAAAGATGCTCTTCAAATATTCATCATAGTTCAGTAAACTCAATCGAAAGAGATCCTTCTGGGTTTGAGTTAGTAAAATATAGGAACAACAATGTACTATGTGCAGACACCTGGGTACAATTCTCATACTTGCCTAGTGAAAGATAAGAATTTTGTAGCTAGCAATTAAATTTTTTTAAAAAAGTAAAAGAAAGTGAATACTTGTTTTTATAAACTGGAAATATTTGACATAATAAATGAGTCTGAAAACCAATCTTGCTTTGCATTTAACTGTTTTTTAATTTTATAAATATAAGTTTCAGGAATTAATAATAATATAATATTAAAATAAAATTCAATAAATATGAAAATTTTAATGCTAAAAAAACTACAACTATTAATCATTTTTTTGGTAACTTAAATTCTGAAGTTTGAAAAATGAGTTAGATTCAAAGTTGCCTGTTAAGGTATTCATTTGTTGTGCTAAATATTTGAAAATTGATAATGCAAGAAACATAAAGCTAAATCACGAAATTTTTTTATTAAAGATAAAACTGTATGTTTATTCTTCATAATGTATATATCGAGATTTCTCTATATATCAGTTATAAGCCATCTGCTTTGTCATGTGATAGTTGTCATCCAATCATACTATGATCTTATTACATAAGAAGTATGAATAACAAATTTAGGAGGTATGTATAACAGCTACCTTTTTTATTAGTTTTTCTTCTTTTACTAATTTGATTTTGTATACTATTACAAGACTTTTTTGAAATGTATAACTAAATTGTTACATTAAGTTATATTTGTCATACTAGCCACAGCTTGTATCACATAGGTTATACAAAATTGTTCTCAATGTTACACAAAGCCGCAGCAGCTGCAGTAGCCGCAGTATTACATCATACCTCTGTCAAGTCAACCCTTACTATTATAAATTTTATATATTAAAACTTTAACAATTAATAACAAAAAATTTTATTAAGTAATATTAACTTTTATTCTTAAGTATACCTATAGTATTTTTTTTTCTTTATAAAACAGAATACCTACTTTGACTATCCAAAAGCCAGATCATTTTGATTTTGACTATTTTCATAACAAATACAATAATCATTATGATACAATAATCTAAAAAATACAACTTATACAACTTAAAATGATGACATTTATATTTAATTTATCTGAATGCAATATTGCTAATCTCTTCACTATTTTAAAACTCCTACTCAACTTACTATTGTCTGCTGTTATTGTCAAAAATTCTATACTCTTTTTACTTCTAATAATCTTAATGTTCTACTTAAACAAGCAACTCCTCCTTCTTTTTTCTAAAAATCTATATATATAGATATTGATATTATATTTAAACAAGTCAGACAACTTAAAGAAATTATTTCTCAATTACCAATTACAAAAACAACTATTGTTCTTCCATTATCATTTTCTTTGAATTATTCTATAACTCAACAAAGACTTCATCTAGTTTAAGACAAACTTCTTAAATTTAAGTATATTCTTATTATGTACATATTTGTATTATTTGTTAAAATAAAAACATCTTATGTGCTTTTTTAGAAAATAATACATACTTACTTCTCAACAAATCCATCCTTATCATTAAAGGATTTTTAGCATATCCTAAATATATTCACAAACTCAAACTCAAATTTATTACTTAAGCCAAAGCACTTACTTCTATACAAATCCAAACTGCTCTCATAATCAAACTTATTACAATATCTAAAGAAAAGAAAATTTTAATTTTCAAAAAATTCTTAGAATTATTAAAACAAAATTAACAAAATCAACAAAATTTATATCAAAAACAACATATCACCAAGATCTTCTTATTTTCAAACTTATATCTCTTACCTCTATTATAGATAAAACAATTAATAATAAACAATAACAATACCAAAAATCAAATGAACAATTCTATAGTTAAGTAGCAAGACCTAAACTCAACCCATCATTTAACTGGCTAGCAAATTTTTTAGTTACTGATAAAATGCAGAATTATATAAAATTAGAAACTAAGATATTATGTCAACTTTTTAATTTCTTTAAAAAACACTTATATAATTTTCATCATAGTAAAGTTTTTAAAAAAGACACAGAAACTAAATATGTACTTAAAGCTAGTTTCTATTTATTAATTAGACAAATAGCTAGTACTAGACCAAAATTTCTTATTGACCTAATTCAAAAACACAACTCCGAAACAGATAAAGCTGTAACAATTCTCTTCAATATTTTAGAAAAAAGTTTTAAAAAACTTATTCATATATTTACAACAATCTTCTTTACCAAACTCAACTATTCTGAAATATTTGCTTCTTCTGCTATAATCTTACCAATTAAAACTGAAAACTGTCTACAATTTTGCCTCAATCTTGCTTGCTTATATTTATATCTTTCTAATAATTACTAAACAATTAACTATACAAAATTTACTAAATATATCAAACTCAGACCTAAAAATTTTAAAATAATATCTGAGGTTACTGATTTTGACAAAGAACAACAATATCTTTTTATCAAAATGGATAACTGATTCAATATTAAACTAAATTTTAATCTTTCAAAATTTCTTTTTCTTAACAAATGTAATATACCATTACTTAAAAACTTACTCAATCATTTTAATGAATAGTTTGAAAAAGCTTTTTTATTATATAGCTAACAATTTTCTAATACAATTAACAAAACCAAAGTATTTAACTATCTTAAATATGAATTCAGGTAACATTTTATCTTACATCTAAAAAATCTTTTGCCAACTAATATTGAATTTATAAAACCAACTAATCTTCAAGAATAATGTTATGAAACTTTTAGACATGCCAATTATCATGTACTTACCTGTACAGACTCTAAATGTCCCTATCTTGAACCAACTAATACAAAAGAAAAAACAAAAGAAGCTAATACTAATTCAAAAAAAACCTTTATACTACAACCTATATACAACTCATCTATACTTATTAAGGATATATTTGAAACATCTTATAAAACCTATCCCAAAGAAGATACTAAAACATGAAATAAACCTTTTCTTGATGCATCTATATTTTATATTAAAGACAAACATAAAGCCATATTCACAAAACCAATTCCTACTTTAACTCTTGATGAACTAGCAACAAAGGCAGAAGAATATACTTGTTCTTCTAA